ACAGTATGTTAGTAATATCTATTTTCCCCTTTGATTTTATATTAATAAACTTGTTCTTTGAGTATTTGAGGAGTATTCATTTCTCCCACAGTAGTTACCTTTATTTCCGTCCAAGTGACCCTGATATCAGAATTACACTTCCCATGTGCCTTGACCATCGACATGCTACCAGCAAGAACTGAGGTTAGGTAGTACCAAAAATGAACTGAAGTAAGTAGAAGGAACATTTGAAAGAACTAAGACATGTTATGGTTTCACCCTTCTTTCCCCTTATCGATCTGGTCAATGAAAAACCTAACCCAATGCCTAGTCCACTCTGTCCGCTACCTAACGAGTTACATACTGTCCAGAGGGGGGCTGGTGGCAGCGACCCTTAGTAATTAAGCTTAGAGTTAAGTATTTCCCCTTAGAATTAGTGACCCCAGGCTGGCAGTATACTCCGTTGGTGAGCTCTGAGGTTACTCGAGAAGCCGATATGGGATCGGCAGGGCCGTCCAAAGATGTTGCACATCTAGTGTGGGAGGGGCAGCAGCAGTCTGCCTCGGTTTGCAGTCAGGCTTACTCTAAAGTATTGACACCATCTCGTTACGGCATGATCATCTGCAAGGTAAGGGGGTCGATTTGGCACTTTCATAGGTTTGTCTTAAGACTATCCTTATACATTTTCGTTGCCCGACAGCATTACGTTAACATTCGTTAGGTGACTGTGAAGTAGCTGTTCTAAATATCTACTGTCGTCTATACTGGTAATATGGCCAGTCCAACGTAATTGTTCATGGATAATAGTAGCCCTGGTGCTCCTACATTTGGTGTCAGCGAGAATACTGGCATTTATTCACTCGTGTTCCCAGCGAACTCGCAGGTGCCTACGGTATGTTACCCATTCCTCACTGCCATACATCAGGGTGTGGAGGACCACTGATCAATACGTGCAGCTTTGTAGATAATTTCAGTTCCCCACAGCTGAAGACATGGGTACAGAGTCTGCCAAAGGAACTTATCTTGTCTGTTATCTAGTATGCGTTCCAAAAGTTTCCCGGTTATTTCCAGTAAGGATAAAGGTCTGTAGTGTTATCTGTTTTGGATCCTTGCCTTCTTTGGGAATGAAGATCATTTTTGCCCGCTTGAGAGCATCGGGAAAGTAACCAACTGATAAGGTTGAGTTGTAAATATTTAGTAGGGCTTCCAGTGGTCTGCTGGGCAGGTTTAATAACATGCTTCGGGTTATACCGCTCATTCCAGGGGATTTTTCTTTAAATTTGCGTAGATAGTGCAGTAGTTCGTCGTGATCTATGAATTTATTGGGTCTTAGTTTTTCTGCGTTTCCTGTGTGGTAGGGAGTCAGTCTATTGCTTTGTTCTCTTAGCCAGGCTTTTATTAACTCTTCTTTCATTTTTTACTTCTGATATTCTGAAGATCTCTTCCATTCTCTTCTGAAGGCCTCTTCTTTTTCGTGATCTGTATAGAGTTTTTGTCTGTTTTGTTCTTTAAAGTAGTTTATTGTCTGCTTTTCGTGCCAAGTAGTTTGTTGATGTTTTGCCAGAAGTTTTTTTAGTCCTTTATGGTGTCTATGTTTTTTTATTAGATTGTTCCATTTTTCGTTATTAATTTGTCTGTACTCTTCTTGTAAGCCTTGTTGGATTTCTTTTATATTCCGGAGTAGTTCTCTAGTGGGCCCTGTTTGTTCTATAAATGTCCTAAGGTTATTATATTGTATACCTGGAGTCGCTTTAATTCTTCCTTGGGTTTGTTACTCGGGAGGGTTCTGTATGACGTTATTGGGGTTGTCTGGTTGATTGCTTTTTTTATTGTGTTGTGTAGCTTGTCTACCTGTTCGTCAATTTCCTCGAGTGTTACATCTTTTAGATTTATTTGTGGGTAGTTTTCCAATAAATCCTTATATTTCATCCAGTCTGTTTTGCTCATCTGGAGCCTTGGTGATGTTTTAGTTTGAATTGGGCTGGTGGAAATTGTGAATATTATCGGAATGTGGTCGCTTGGGGTGATGGGGCCTTGCTCTATGTCGTAGTTAAGGAATGCTTTGTTGTTACAGAAGATTTTGTCGAGTGTTAAAACGCAGTTTGGTCCCATCCAAGTGGTGAAGTGCGGGCCCAGATGAAGTAGTCTGCCAGTGTTGATTATACGTTCCAATGCTGTGTCTATCTGGTTATTGTTGCCGTTGCTAAAAATGCGGTGTCTTGCGTGGAAATTTCCCAGGATGTATAGTTGCTAAAACAACTATCTGTGCAGGTGGGGGTCGATATGCTCCGAAATTTTGCGTGTGACTAGTGACAGCCCTCATATACCAAAATTTATCGTCCATGTTATCATATTGTTTCCCACAAAGTATGCACAGATAGTTGTTCTAGCTATTTTACGTACATTTGGATATGTTGTTGCGATTATTATTTCACCCTGTGTTGTCTGTACTTTAATGGAAAGGAATTCGCTGTTAAAGTTGTCTATTAGTATTTGTTTGATACCTTTTTTTTCACCGCTACGGCCACTCCGTCATGTTTTTCTCCACTTTTGTTCGATTGGTGGGTGTCGAAGTTAAATATTTTGATTTTGTTGTTCTCGGGTTCGCCGTGTGCACTTATTAGTATTATATCTTGATTGTTTTCATTGTATATGTTACAAAGCGATATTTTGCATGTGTGCCAATCACGGACATTGTATTGTAACAGCACCATTTGTATTATATAAATATTCACCCAAATGTATAATACTTAAATATATAATACCAAATTATTCACTAATTTATTCAACAATGACTCATTAGTTATTCACTAAGTTATTCACCAATGACTTAGTAGTTTTTCATGTCACTCATGCTGAGGTCTATAACTTCAACAGAGGTTGAGCCAGGTCAAGTTGATTTTGCAAATACCTCGCCCGCTCCTCCTGCTCTCACGCTCTGAGCAAGAGGACAGAGCAGGCAGACTCATATCACTTGTTACCCAGTGAACACCTCGCTTAAGTGTTTTCATATTTAAGTGCACTCAAGACACTTCCCTGGTAGAGAAGGTACAATATACTCTCAACCGAACTAAGTACCTGTGAAACTATATTTTTCTACAATAAAGAAAAACCAGCAAAGTGTTTACTTCAGCCTAACCTCTTACTAGTTCAAGAACTAATATATATATTTGTGTGTGATATATATAAAAAGGATCAACACAGCGTTGGAGGATTTTAAGTGTTTTCAGTTGTAGATGGAGAGTTGAAGCTGAGGGGGTGATCTCATTTCGTTGAGTCCCGATGATTTCCTTTTGAGATTAGCTGCCGTGATTACAATAACATCTTTTGTGCCGAATTTTATTTTGTCTTTTTTAATCATGTTCCATGCCGTTTCTTTGTCATACCGTTCGTCTGTGTATTGCCATACCATTTCGTTAGCCGTTACTAAGTCGTCGATAAATTTTCCAGTTGGTTTTCTGTGTGGTGGGTATGGTATTTTTGTGGTCTGATAAAACCTTAGTCCTACATCTGCTGCTTCTTCAGGCACTGATTTCCCTTTCGTTCCCGTTCCTTGTGTCAGTCTTGGGTCTCTCGCCCTCTCAGTCAAATCTCCAGGTCGTTCCGCTTTTTCCGGTGCATTATCTTGGTCTGTCGGTGATGTTGTGTCCTCGGGCGTGTTTAATCGTTGTCTCAAGTGTTTTGTAAGCTCTGGGGTGCTGGTGACGTGTAACAAGTTTGCTGAGTTGGGTTTTCAGGGAAGTTCACATGTGGCATGTTGATTATTTCAAGCATCCTCTTCAGTTGGTCGGCATATGATCCTGGGGCTATGATGTTATGAAAGTGAGCATGTAGCATGCTCACCATTACCTTGAAATGATCAGTGTCACTTAATTTGATTATGGTGTCAGTAGTTGGCTTTGTTGCCTTTTTCACGGCCCTCTTTGCTATTTCAGCATATCTGCTTTGATCATTCATCCTATCTCGTTGGTCTTCCTGCTCTTGCTTGTATTTGATGAAGGTCTTTTTGATGGGGCAGGACATGGCCATGGTTGGGTGGGTGTGGTGCACGTCCCCGTTCCTTTTGCAGTTTACGCAGCCTTTGTTGGTGTTGTTGCAATGCGTGTAAACATGACCTTCCTCCGCACAGTTGGAGCATTATTGCTTTTCCTTTTCAGGGCAGTCCCTTGTGGTATGCTCTTCATATTTATAGCATATGAAACATGTCAGGAGACCGGTGTATTTTCCCTTTTTATATGATGAGGGGATATCGACATGTTGCATGCTAAGAAGCCGCACTGGAGGACCTTGTCTGCCATAGCCGTTTCTTCGAAACAAATCTTCAATACGTGCTTGTAATCTATTATTTTGGTTATTTCTTCTACTTTAAGTCCTTCATTGTTATTCTTAATGTCTGCCTTCAGATCTCGTGGCTCTTAGCTCGGGAGGCACGACCACAATTAATCCATTCTTGACAAGGATCTGTTTCGCCTTAGTGGTTAGTAGTTTGTCTGCATCATTTTCATGTCGGCAAATGACTTTGAACCCTTCGTTCAAGTTGAATACCCTATTGAAGGGCACGCCTAGTTCAACATATGCTTGGGTGATTAGTCTCGATCTATCGATAGGTTTGTTCTTATCTTTTACTTTTATTCTTATATTTACTGCCATTATGCATGTATAAGGTTATTGGAAGCCCTTCTTTGATTTTACAAGAGACAACCCCCTCACAGTGGAGTGACTGCACGATCACAGTCGTCACTATGGGATCGGCCTGTTTGTCCCCGACCCCCAATGAACGCACACAATCCCACTCAGCTGTGAGGTGTGTGCTACTGGAGGGGCTCTAGCAAGAATGCTTAAATAAAGCAGGCGTCTCGGCCAGGGTAAGCATGGAAGGATTTTAGTAAGAGAGAAAAACCTCAAACCACGTCAGTACTGCCAGTCAATAGCCGCCCTCCTGCAGGAGTGTGGGTCACTCACTCTGTCCGTGGGGAGGACTAGCTAGAGTTGACAATCCTGAACGCTCGTGGGGTAGTCCGATGACGTTCGTGGTCGTTATCCAAAGGTGGAGGCCCACAAACGGCGTTGCCCCAAACGGGATTCCTGGGACATCCAGTGATAATCAAAGAGGTCGAGCTGTGGTCCGGTCGTCAACAATAGAAACAAGGCTGGCTGCTGGCTTTGGCGGTGAGGGGTCTGGAGAGAGGTCCGATCACGACGAAGGCTCCGTCTCGAATGTAGGTGTCTCAAAATGGAGATGAATTTTGATGGGCAACCAAACCGACTGAGGGTCCGCCAGAGGGCTTCCCTGTTGACCGAGTCGGAGTCCCTAGTAAGGTCCTAGAATGCCATGTAGAAGTCATGACGCTGTTCTCTACACTTTTCTTGCATCTGGTGGACAGCAAAGATCATGTCAGTTGTGCCACGTGGTGGTCTAAAGCAACATTTAGATTATGGGAGAAGGTTTTCCGCCTCAGGAAGTCTGTTAAAGAGGACTCGGGCTATAATCCCTTGTTCTTATAAATATTGACAATGGAGGCATTTTTTAAGATCTTTGGGTGATTTCCTCCTTCTCCTATAAATTCTCCAGGAGAGAGTGGAGACGGCAGGTAAGCAGAGGTCCTCCTGCTTTATACACCTCGGGTGGTATTCCATCAGGCCCTGTAGCTTTGTTAATTTTCATCTGCTTGATGGCAGTATCTACCTCATCACGGGATGAAGGATATCTCAGGTGGTCAGCTCTGGGTGCTGTGGGACCAACTGGGTAGTCAGAACATCCACATCGGTGTTTCGGTTGAGCAGGGAATGGTAGTGCTCTTTCCAGCGCTGACGGATGCCTTCACCGTCTTTAATTAGGGAGTTACCATCGGATAAGCGTAGGGGAACCGCGCAATGAGTAGTTAGGCCATACATTGCTTTACGAGAATTGAAAAATTCACGCATCTTCTGTTGATCCACAAATTTTTGCACAGGCTTTATTTTTCCACCATTTACCCTTTAGATCGCGAAGTTTGCGCTGGGCCATCGCTTTCTTTTGGCGGAAGGTATCAGTTTTGGTCCGAGACTGAGGGTTTCTCCACCAATCAGTTAAGGCAGTCCTTTTACTATTGACGAATACGTCGATTTCCTGGTTATTTTCATCAAACCAATCCTTATTTTTTCTTTCGATCAAGCCAAGGGTCTCGTTGCCTGTTTTTCGGATGAAAGCTTCGTGGATACCCTAGTCGACACTCGGATTTTTTTTTTTTTTTTTACGGGAATTAGCCCACCCGGGCACAGATCAAACGACCCACAACGGGGCGTGGGGGGGAGGGGGAGGAACAGAAAGAAATTGAAAATAGAGAAGAAAAAGGTTATACTGTATTAATCTACACCACGAAGATGCCGGAAAACCAGTTTTTTTAAAGTGAGACAGATTGTATAAGTATGGAAACACAAAAGAAGGCAGAGCATTCCACAGTTTGGCTGTGTGAGGAAAGAAGGAGGTACTATAACGGGTTATTCTCGTGTGACCGACATCCACAGAGAAACGGTGGGCACCACGGGCAAGACGTGCGTTACGAGCCCACGGCCTTGCCGGCGGTACACAGGATGCCAAATCCACTAAACATTGCCCATTAAAGTACGTGTAAAAGAGAGAGAGTGAAGCAACATTGCAGCGAAGAGAAAGGGAAGAGAGATTGTCGACAAAAGGAGGAGAGTTAATAAGACAAGATGCCTTTGATTCCACCCTATATAATAGTTGGACAGAAGAAGAGCCACCCCAGATATGAGAGCAGTACTCCAAGTTAGGACGAATGAATCCCTTATATACTTGGAACAACTGCTCAGGAGTGAAGTAGCTACGGCATCTGTACAGCATTCCCAACTTTCGGGAGGCAGCTTTAGCTATATCAAGGATGTGTGATTTCCAGGACATATTGGAGGAAATGGTGAGGCCTAACATATTTATTACAGAATTTGGCAGGATGATAGCGTCCTGAAATGTAATTGGTGGGAGATCGTCTAATTTACAAAGTGTAATTGGTAAATATTGAGTTTTATTACTATTGAACTTAACCAAGTTTGTACTTCCCCATTCAGAGATGCTGCACAGATCCGCATTGATAGAAGTAACGATATCAGTTCTAGAAACAGATCTAGTTTGAGAGTTAGGAGGAAGGGGAAAATGTGAAGAAGAGTGAAGAGTAGAATCATCAGCATAAGAATGGATAGAATTAGTTGTAGTGTGAAGTAAATCATTCATAAAAAGAAGGAAGAGAGTAGATGAGAGAACAGAACCCTGTGGGACACCACTACTGGCAGAGAAAGAGGGAGAGATCGTTCCCTCGACAACAACTGTCATGTCGTGTTGTATTTTTTCTATTTTTTTTTATAACATGCTTACATGTTATTCCATATTGTTCCTGTAATGATGTGTTATATTTACTGTTATATAATCTAGTTACCTTACCCTGTGCTGTTAAGGTTTTAACTGTTATTATTTGTTCAAGCCCATCTTATTTCTTCATTTAGTATTGTAACAAGCATTCTTTGTTTCTCTAACGACCATCTGCATCGTTTAACGACCCATGTTTCACGGGCTGGAGTCGACCCTATATATATAGTACTCCACGAGCAGACGGAGTTCAGTCCAGTCCTCTTGTCATTCAGTTCACGTTCTTTTGAGTGACACCCGTCACCTGTTACTTATACTTTATTTTATTTCTGTGTTGTTCCTGTCGTCACCAATGTGGTATATCTATGTGAATGCCTATTCATGTCTCTTATGTGTCCATCAGTGCTTGCTTAGTTACATTTAAGTATTTCAGTGTTGTTTCACTATAGTTAATTTCAGTGTTAGTTATTTTATATGTTTATACAGTGTTAACGTAATCCAATGCTTTATTTTTATTCTTTTGATGTTTCGATGTTTTAGCATCATTTGTGTCTTAAAAGTTTCGATAGTGAATAAATTTGTTGTGACAGCCCACGAGGCTCTTTATTGTGTTAGTATTTAATTTAATTAAATTCTTAAAGCTTTACTTTATTTATTTTTATTCCCTTTTGATTTACTTCACTTTTTTTTTTTTGGTTACGCCTAGAACCTGGATATTAAAGTAAATTAAGAGACGACGTAACAATATGCATTGATGAAAAAGGTATGACTTGGTGTAATTCAATGGGACTCTGAGAATCATAATATGCTTGTTGACCCCAACAGGTATTTCAGTTAGCATATGCAGGATGGATTGGCGAATGGCAAAGCCAACTCCATTCATACCGTTTCTCACCAAAGCAGGCTTATGCTTACAGAAGAAAGTATAGCCGGCCCCTGTTCTGTGAGTAGACCCTCGTTTGGGAGCCGGAACTCGCTAATGGCTGCTATGTCGATGTTAAATCTAGACAGCTCGATTGCCACAAGGACTGTTCTTCTTTCAGGGCGCTCATTTGTGCCTGTATCCATAAGAGGTTGCATAGTTTGTTTTTGCTTTGATCTGTGATTATTTTTTTGAAATGCATTAGGATGACCTTACTGGGTGCCGTTGCCCAGTTAGGTTGGTTTTTAGGCAGGCTATGTTTAGGGGACTTTTTCTAGCCACACACACACACACACACGCACACACACACAATTGGTGTTAAATCATTTACTGGTTCATTGTTTTTGTTTTTTTTGGTCTTTTGCTAATCTGTCTGATGGTAGAATGTTCTCAGCGTCGAGCACTTCCACTTGTTCTTGATACTGATAGTGATATTGATATTGATATTGATATATAGACATATGCAGAGTGGACAATAATAACAATAATGACATGGCTGGGCCAATTGAGAGCCAGAGCTCTCTTAGTGGCATCTGATATACGAGTATACTGTACATGTATCTCAAGGAATTATTATATAACATTTATTACCATCTGGATTAGTATATGTAACGTGGTGTTCGCAAGTACACACAGTAAAGAAAAGTACCTCAGGGACGAGGAACAATGGAATATACGTGTTGCTCCTATATTATGGTGGTAGTCCTGCTTTCCTTGCCTGAGGGTGTTCTCACATGCCTGTTTCCTACCATAGCTAGGTGGAAACCCTTGCCATACAGGCACGCATACCAACCCTCCCGGCACATAATTTTTTTTTTTTTACAGGGAATAGCCCACCCGGGCACAGGTCATCAACCCACAACGGGGCCTAGGGGCAAAAAAAATAGGAATAAAATTAAATTAAAAATATAAAAGAAAATAATTATATTAATCTACACCACGAAGATGCCGAAAACCAGTTTATTAAGGTGAGACAGATTGTGTGAGTATGGAAGCACAGAAGAAAGAAAAAGCATTCCACAGTTTGGTTGAGTGAGGTAAGAAGGATGTACTATAACGGGATATTCTAGTGTGACCGACATCCACAGAGAAAAGTTGGGCACCGAGGGCAAGGCGAGTGTTATGAACCCACGGCCATGCCAGCAGTACACAGGATGCCAAATCCACCGAATAATGCCCGTTAAAGTACCTGTAAAAGAGAGACAGTGAAGCAACATTGCTGCGAAGAGAAAGGGAAGAAAGTTTATCAACTAAAGGACGAAAGTTAATAAGACGAAATGCCTTTAATCCCACTCTAACAGTTGGACAGAAGAAGAGCCACCCCACATATGAGAGCAGAACTCCAAGTTAGGACGAATGAATCCCTTATATACTTGAAGCAACTGCTCAGGAGTGAAGCAGCTACGGCATCTATACAGCATTCCCAGCTTTCGGGGGGGGGGGCAGCTTTAGCAGTGTTGAGGATGTGTGGCTTCCATGACATATTAGAGGAAATGGTGAGGCCTAGCATATCTATTTTAGAAAGTGGCAGAATGATTGCGTCCTGAAATGTGATTGGTGGAAGATCATCTAATTTGGAAGGTGAAATTGGTAAATACTGAGTTTTATTATTATTGAATTTAACCAAGTTTCAACCTCCCATTCGGAGATGCTGCACTGATCCGCATTGGTAGATGTAATGAAATCAGGTCTAGAAACAGATCTGGTTTGAGAATTAAGGGGAAGGGGAAAATTTGAAGAAGACTGAAGAGTAGAATCATCAGCGAAAGAATGGATAGAATTAGTTGTAGTGTGAAGTAAATCATTCATAAAAAGAAGGAAGAGAGTGGGTGAAAGAAGAGAACCCTGTGGGACACCACTATTGGTAGAGAAAGAGCGAGAGATCGATCCCTCGACAACAACTGTCATGGGTCGATTCTTAAGGGAGCTAGAAATTA